AAAACAGGGCCCTAAATAAAGGGCTACATTCCAGACTGGAAATGGGGTACACTAGCTAACCAGATCAGAATCCTAGGTTTTTACAGAGACAATCAACTCAAGGTTAAAGGAAGGCACCACTGTTTTTGGAAACTGGTTTCTGGTTAATGACAGCATCTCCTTAGAATGGCTCATAGCTCCAAGAGAAGGAAATGGAGTGGCTATTGTGAAAGAGAGGATAAAGGTTTCCATCACACATAGGAATTAGATCATTCATCACTGCATTCATTCCTGGAAAGAACAGCAACCAGAAAAGACCAGTGCATTCAAGAAACATTCATGGGGGGGAGGGTAGAGCTCAGTGGTAAAGGGTGTGCTCACCGTGCACAAGGTCCTGGGTTCAATCCCCAGTAGGTCCGTTAAAAAATATAAATAAAAGAAAGAAAAGCAATTATCTCCCCTCCAAAAAAAAGTTTTTTTAAAGAAAAAATGTATTCATAGGGTTTAATGTAAACATTTTATATCTATATATGGGCAGGTAAACAAAGTCTTTTGTGAAGAAAGGCATCTCTGGAAAAGTCAGCTCAAGTTCCCCTGGAGGGGAACTGAAGCCCCGGCCTGAGTGCGGGTGGCTGGATTCTGCAGATCAGGTCACGCAACCAGCCCAGAGCGCGGTGGGCCCCCAGGCCCTGCAGGATCTTAGGAATCGGGGTAGCGCTTACACTTCACGACCAGCGGCTGAGCAGTCTGAAACCTGAGTACCGCTGGATCAGCCAACCCCAAGTTTCCTGTTTTCTTTTTCTTCCCCAGATCTTTAACTGAGAATTTGTGAGAACACATTCTTCAGAAGCTCAGGTGAAAATTCGATTTAAGTAGAATCAGGGTAACTTCCGCAAATAAGCACATTCCCCAACCTCGGTTCCTTGATCAGACCCACCACACACGTATCTTCTGCCTGAGTGCTCCAGGTGCAGCCAGGACTGAAATTTCCATCTCTAAGGGACCAAAATACATCCCAGCATATTCTGTTGATCTGTTTCCCACACTTCCCTTAAAAAAGAGAAAAGTCAACCAGGCCAGAAAAGTGGGGTTCCTACGCCACTTTCCCGCAACACCCAAACACGCCTGAAGCTCCACGGACCCGCCCCTTCCTCCCGCATCTGTCCACCAGGCGCCGCGGCGACTGCGTGAGGAGTGGAGAGAGGAGGCCGGGCGCGCGGTCCCCCTGCAGGGGGCCTGCATGTCCCGGAAGCTCAGCTCCCGCCACAAGGTCTTCCACCCAGAAAGTCCCCTGGCTCCGTGTGCGCGTTACTTATGAAAGTCTACGCGCTGGGCAGTGCGTGGCTCTTCCGTCCTGCCTCCTGCTTAGTAACGGACACCAAACCCAGCCACCAAACGAGGCGCCACGCGGTGAGCCGCGGTTCGGGCCGCTCCCTGTGGCCCGTCCAGCGTCGGGAAGGGGGCGAGGAGGCCGGGCCCGTGGGCCGCGCGCCACACACCTTCCGCGCCGGGCTCCTGCTCCTCCTCCTGCCCGTCGCGGATGACGAGCTGCTCCCGCTCGGGGCCCTCCTCCTCCGGATCCTCCTGACTCACGAACAACGCGTCCGGCACCCGCGGGGTCTGGCC